CTTACAATAACACTAATAGCTCCTAACGGAGTGACAAGTATGGCAGGAGCAAATGCATAAGCAGTAAAGTTAGCAGCCTCACCAACAACCACTAAAAAGATAAGCAGTTAAGTTAGCAGCCTCTCCAGCAACCATTAAAAGGATAAGTTAGCCAACAATAAAATATAAAAAAATATATAATTAATGATTTAATAAATGTCTAATTGTAGTAAAATGAAAATAAAATCCTTTACATAGTGTTCTAGTAAAACGTTTCTGAAATCAGTACCAAAACAACATACAGATACAAAAAATAGTGATTAATGATAGATTAATCTCCCCACCTTCATCCGTTTTTTTTTAATTCTAGACCAAGTTAGTATGACTAGTAAAACTAGTTTTTTTTATTGAGGCATGTTGAGTTTTTACTATTTCAGTATTTTTCCAAACAAAATTTCAACTTAAAATTATGAAAAACTATTTAAAAATGATTCCCTTAAATCAATTTCTGAAAATTCTTTTTATTAATATCACACTTTAAAAAAATAAATAAATAAAGAATTCAAAATAAAGATGGTAAATTTTTTATTATTAACTTATTTTTTCCATTATTCACAAAATAGAAAAAGCTTCATTATAGCTAATTTTGATATATAAATAAAGAAATGGAGGTGACAAAAATTCATTTTAAATTTACTGGATATTTTCTATGTACTTTTTGTAGGCAATTAAATTTTCTATCTATTAAGACCTAATTTAAAACTATGCATAATCTGAATTAAATCAATCCTATCTGTACATCTGATCCATCTTTAGTGTATTAAACTCTTATATATAGCTTTATTCTGTAACTAATGAAAAAATATTTTATAAATAAAACCACGACAATCACTATAAGATAACAGTTAGGACAACACTAAATTTTTATTATCCAAGGAAATTAAATTTATTATAAACTATTTTTTGTGAGTATATTCAAAAGAACCAAAGGACACTGGACCCCAATAGTAATAGCAACAAAAGTACAAAACAAACTACCTACATTAAAACTATCTACTTGAAAACTTGTTGAGTGCTACAATTAGCAGTAAATGAAAAAGACATGTGGTTACAATAATTACTTATGTGGTATACACACCACACATGGTATACTTTAACACTATCTATAAGTTAGATAGGCTATTATGCCACATGTAGTACATTAAATTTGCTTGTGGATTAGCAAAGTTTAAAAAAAAAATCCTGCACAAATATATTCATATACATATCTTCTATTCCTATATGAAACTATTTAAAATTATTAGTTAGACTTAAAAAATGTTAAAAAATAGTAAATATATATATATGTAAATATATGTAAATATATATATATATATATATATATATATATATATATATATATATATATATATATATATATATATATATATATATATTATATATATAGTGCTCGAAGTGGTAAAAAAAAAGTAACAGGATGGTATTCGGCAAATTAAAAATACCTTCCTGCCTAATCATTGTTATATATAGAGATTTATAAAAAGGTGGCGGAATGGTTTATACTTAATAAAAAGGTGACGGGATGGCATCCCGCCATATCCCGCCTCACTTCGAGTACTGTATATATATATATATATATATATATATATATATATATATATAATATATATATATATATATATATATATATATATATATATATATATATATAGAATGCTTCTATAATGAAAAACTTTATTGACTTGTAATAAGACCAATCCACCACATCCATTCTTTTAGATATGCATATCCACCTTCCCCTACAAAAAATAGATATTTAGTAATTTAATGAAAATACTTTGATAAAAAAACAAAATCTTGCACTAGAAAATACAAACTTTATTATTTAATTGGTTCTTTTTCTTAATATAAAAAATGATTGCTTTCATTTTAAAGGTATATAAACTTTTAAAACAGAAGCAATCATTTGTTATATTAATAATAATAAAAAAAATAATAATAGATCAGGGCATTAAAAAATGTTTGTGATTGCACACAGGGCATGATGGGATTAGGTTATAGCTTTTAGATTATATTGATTACCATGCCTAACGTTGCATTAATACATGTATTATTTTTTGAAATATCTACACTTCTGAAAAGGCTGCAAGCAACCACTATTACAGGCTTGGACAGGAATAACGTGCAATCGAGCGCTATTGCTGACCAAGCAAATGATTTTATTTTTTGACAACTTGACCACGATTGTTTAATAAACAATGTTTATATGTTTTGATAAGTTTAAAATTTCAGAAATGTTCTGAATGTAGAAACGCTAAGCTAGACTTAAACTAGGAAAAAAATTAAAAAAAAAAACTAAAGAAAAAAAAAAAAACTAAAAAAAAAATATTCCTAACGAAAAAATAAACGAAAAACAAATTCATAACGAAAAACAAATTATATAAGCACTAAAATGAAAATAAAAACTTATACATAAAGCAAATCTTTTTGTTACGTTTCTAATTACATAAGAAATAAACGTTATTAAAACTTATCTTTTAAAGCATTATTAAAGATAATCATTAGTAGTAATTTGTTACTTAATTTAAAAACGCAAAACGTTTTTAAATTAAGTAACAAATTACTACTAATGATTGGTTTAATAAAAGAACAAATTTTATTAAATTTATTAAAAAGTGTTTTATATAATATTTTTAAATTGTATAAACATTTATTTTGTCAAAAAAGTTGTAAAAAAAAAATTGTTTAAAAAAAATAACGTAGGCTTTTTAAAATAGCAATTTTTACTAATTTTATGCTCTAATTAGTGAGTCTAATTAAAAAAAAAGGTTTTGAACTTTTTTTTAATTAGACTCACTAATTAGAGTAAAAATAGAAAAAAAAAAAAAATAAATAAATAAAATGCGCCTGCGATTTAAATAAAATAAACTGCCAATAAGCTTTTTAATTTAATTTTAATTTGAGCATTACAACTTAAATAAGCGCTTCGCGTAACGAATTTAAAAATTATTATAAAAGATTTAATCTCATTCATTTTTAACGAAATTAAAAAAAAAAAAATTGTTTACAAAAAATAAAATGTTTATTTAAAACATTTTAAAAAATCGTAAATTTAATCATAAAAATTAATCGTATGAACATTACAAAATGCGTTAAAACTTTTTCATTAAACCAGCAAAATACATGCTTATTAGTAAATAAAGTTATTTTATATTCTTGTGCAATTCACATAAAATGTGTAAAAGTTAGTCGTCACAAAAGCTTTTGAACTTATTCACAAATTAAAGAAACTATAAAAAAATTCTTTCTAAAAATAATGATTCAAAAATATTTTAGGAAGACATAAGAAAATAGTTTCAAATGTTTAAATTTATCATAAAAAATAAATGCCAACATAAAAAAAACTTATTTATAATATTTTTTATTAATTTACACAAACGTTTATGTAAACAATAACTATAATTAATTTTATGGTTTTATTTAAAGCCTTTGCGTAAAATAAAAAACTTTAGAAGAGATCAATGATTAAAAGATATTTATAACGTAACCCTTTTTTATTGCATTCAAATTGTTAAAACATCAAAAAAGTCGTGGTCAAGTTGTAAAGAAATAAAAATATTAGCGTGGTCAGTTATAGAGTGCGATCGCACGCCATTCCTGCCCAAGCCTGCTATTAGAGTTAAAAGTTACTGGAGAAGAAAAAATAAAGATTATAAAGCAGGATAGCGATTAACAGATGACTTGAAAGATTGCAAATTATATGAATCAGGAAAACAAGATGAAGGGATAAGAACTTTTGGAGCACTTACGAACAATCACAGTAAAAAGATGATACTTAATTAAATGACGATTAACCTGAGCACGAATTTTAGTAGATGGTACAAGAGACACTAGCTCTTTAGAGCAGTGTCCATTATATTATTTATGGAAAAAAGGAAAAAAATTCAAAGATGGGACAATGATTGGAGGTTGGCTGCAAGAGCAGGTCCAACTATATTAACAATGCGTTTTTGCACCTTTACTAAAAGAGAAAGGGCATTAATCTAAGATCTGCTCAAGATATGGCAACAGTATTCCATACAAGAACAGATTTGAGATTTATAGAGATAAAGAACAAAATCATGAGTAGGAAAGTGGTGAGCATGATAAAGAGATGCAACCTTAGCAGATACTAATTTTGCAATCAATTTGACATAAGGTTTCCAAGAAAGATCGGGAGTAAGAGTTAATCCTAGAAGATAAAGGGTAGATGACTCATCGAGTACATTACCGTTCAAAAATTTAGGAAGATCTAGATTATTGCGATAATGATCAGCTAAAAAAATATGAGTTTTATCTGAGTTAAGGTTTACCAGGCACTGAAAGCCCCATGCTGTAGCAAAAGTGAGATCCTTTTCAAACTCAAATGCCTGCTTTAAGCAACCAAACAGTGTTGGCTTTTCATCAAGTAGTATCATCAGCAAACAATGCCACCTTAGATGTGAGAATTTCTGGGAGATCGTTAATATAAATTAAAAAAGTACAGAACCAAGGATAGAACCTTGAGAAAACCCTGAAGTTACATGAAATGAAGAAGATTGCTGTACATGAAGGACAACTTTTTTACTACGATTAGTAAGAAATGATTTTAACATCTTAAAGATGTTACCTGATACACCATAAAAAGGGAGCTTGTGGAGTAGACCAGCATGCCAAACTTTATCAAGTATATGTATGTATATAAATATATATAAATATATATATACATTTATATATATATACATTAACATATATATATATATATATATATATATATATATATATATATATATATATATATATATATATATATATATACATATATATATATATATATATATATATATATACATATATATATATATATATATATATATATATATATATATATATATATATATATATATATATATATATATATATATATATGTGATAACAGCAATCAGTACAATTAGCATAAATTATATGCAAGTAATTAGCAGTATCATTCAATTAAAAGGCTGTTAAACTTTATGCATTGTTAAAATAAAATATCAAACATGAATAAATCTGTGGCGTGAAATTTTGGGGCTAAAATAATGAAATTAATTTTTTCATAAAGAAAAATATGTTAGCTAAAAATCCAATCCATTTTTGTTTGAAAAACAGTGGATAGAAACATTTAGTTTTGACTTTATTTAAAGACGCCATTTTTGTGTAATATGAGTATGCTCAAATTACCCAGTGTTTTTCATTGAAATTACCAAGTTAAAAGTCCTAAAATAGCGGTGGTTTTAATAGCGTTTTGAATAAAAACAAAACATAGTAACAAAACTTAATACTTTAACGATACCAAATATTTTTCTGTAATTTAAATTTAAAAAATTTGTATTTTTTAAAAAACATTTGAAATGATAAAATTGTAAAAATAACAAACTTATGTTGTTGTTGTTTTTTTGGCAGAAAACATAGTAGTTTCTTATCTTGAATCTAATAACTTACTTTCTGATCATCCATATCGAAATTGGTCTTTTTGCTTTACTGCTGATTTGTTAACAGTAATAACCGATAGGTTTTATTATGTATTAGATAGATGTGGAGAGGTTAAGGTTATCGCTCTCAACATTTTTAAAGCCTTTGATAAAGTTTAGCATGCTGGTCTTTTCCATAAGCTTTTTTCTTAGGGTGTATCATGCAACATCTTTAAGATTATTGAAGTCATCCTTACCAATTGCAGTGTGAAAGTTGCCCTTGATGGACAGCACTCTTCTTCATATCCTGTAACTTCAGGGGTTCTATCCTTGGTCCTATACTCTTTAATTTATATAACAATCTCCCAGAAATTCTCACATCTAAAGTGGCATTGTTTGCTGATGATACTACCATTTATTCTTGACTTGATAAGAAGCCAACACTCTCTGATTGCTTGGATGGGACATTTGAGCTTAAAAAGGACCTTACTTCTGCTACAGCACGGAGCTCTCAGTGGCTGGTGAACTTCAACTCAGATAAAACTCAACTTTTTTCAGCTAACCATTATCGCAATAATACTATTACAATAAAAATATATAAAAAGCAGAAAGGAACTGACATAATGAATACAGTCAAACAAAAATAATACCAGAAAAACTAGTCAATACAATATTATTGCATGTAAAAACATTTGTATCAAAGTTTTATCTTTTTGTAATTTTGAACATAATAAAAGCTAATGTTTCTGAGTTTAACATGTAACTTTTAATATTACAAATTTATAATTAGTCTTTAGGAAACAGTTTAAAACCATGAGCTACACTAGAGAGCAAAAGATGTTGAAGAAGAAATTTTAATATTGGAGAATAATTATTTATTTAGAAATTTATATTACCCATTTTCACAGCAATTCAAATATGTAATAATACACTACTCTCAAAATATTTTTTAAAATTTTCCTTAAAAATAAATTTCAAGAATCTTTTTTTATGTAAAAAATAAAAAAATTAAGTTAAAAAAATACAAAATTTTACTATACTGTAAATAATTCATAAAAGATTTGGCATTTAAATTACTTTTGATGACAAATTAAACAAACAACCTATTCTATAGTAGTGACATTATTTGATCTGACTATTTTTCTTTTTTCTACATAGCCAGGTAATATAATGTGAATTATATTTAATAACTTGTCATTTTGATTTAGAACTTGTCACGAGATATTACCTTGACCTACTTGATTTTACGGTTTCAAAATATTACCAAGGTGTCTCTAATCTTTTACAATTCTTTGTTTTCTTTTTTATCATTTTATATTGCCATTTAAAGTTCTAGATCTTGTCACTTAATTTCTTTTTTATACTATACATAAATTATAAATATATATACATAACTATAAAGGATAATAATGCAATAATGCAATAAAAATGAATCTGGCCTTATTACCATTATGATCCCCACACCATGATGATGATCCTTATCATAATTATGATTATAATTGTCATCATAATCATAATATTAATAAAAATAAAAACATCGCTTACCTGCCCTTGAACCAGATGTACGACTAACTCGAAGCAATCCTTTTTTTTTAACAATAAAACTTGTACCAATAAATACACATGAACTAAGTGCTAATGCAAGCCCTTTATAATAATCTCCATAATTAATTTGTGATGTAGCCATATTGATGGTTGTTGTAGATAATGAAGTATTGGCTATAAATATAAGCTAAACAATATATATAGGAAAATTATTATAATGCTCTTATTTCTTTATTTTTAAAATAGGAAAACACAGTTGCTGTAAGTAATAAGTTATAAACTGAATATATGCAGATTTGACTTAACTTTAAAGTTTTTAATAAGAGTTTATTAAAAAGACCTTAAACACCCTTAACAAATATTTATTCATTAAATTTTTGAAATATTTTGATGCTACTCCTGATTTTTACTAAGGTTTTCTTTTTCATCTTCAAAAACATAAAATGAGCATAATTCCCTGAAAAACATGGATTTTTTTATAATTTCAAAACCTTTTAAAAAAAGAATAATTATAGAATGAAATAGCAACTGTCTAATCAAAAAAAAATTATTTTATTTTTTCGTTGATCCTCATTAATAACCATCTGCTGAACCAATGTTACCTAAGTTATTTTTTAGAAACTGTGTTTAAAATTACATAAAAACAGCAACTTTTGGAAAAATTGGTTGTCTATATAAAAAATAAGAACATAAAAAGGTGAAGTAAATTGTGAAACACAGTAAATAAGATGTGTTTTATCCAAAATTAGGATTTTGTTTTAATGATAATGCCACCACTTTGTGATCATATATTTGCCACATTTATTTATAGTCACTACCACATATTTTTTGATAACTGATTATTGAAAAACAACATTTTTTTTTTTTTGTTATTTAGGTGCCCCAAGAAGACCAAACGATCTTGTCACAGAGCACCTTTACTTTTTTTACTTACAGAGCACCTTTACTTTTTTTACTTACTACAGAGCACCTTCACTTCCCTTTACTTGTTATCTACATAGTCTCCACATAGTTAAAATCATTTAAAAAATTAAGTTTAATTTCAGATTATCCATATTTATGCTTTTTTTTAGTAGTTTAGCTTTTGTCCTTTACAAACAGTCATATCCCATAAAATTAGACTTGAATTTATTTTGTTGTGCTTTGGCACAATAAATTGGGGTAAATACTGAATTGTTTAGTTATCAATAAAACGCTACTTTGTTTTCTCAATTTTTAATGTGGTCTTTTTTTATATTTTATACATAATTACTAAAAGTAAATAAATGCCAAAAATATAGTTACAGTATTTTTTTTTTTCTTTATATGGTGATCCAAGGTATTAGAAATTAATAGAATATTAGAAAGTTATCTGACATATATATAAGTTACAATTATATAAGGAGTGATCTTTCTTGTGATTTTTTTCAATTTTAAAAAAATACATTTTATAAGGGGCGGATTTACCTATAGGCCGAAAAGGACACAGATAAAGCCCTAACAATTTTTGGGGCCACAAAATGGGTTCAAAAAATTTTTCAATTCGCAGGATTTTTAGATACTTATTATTAAAAAACATTACTTTCATGATTGTAATGACTGCTTTTCCCAATTATACAATTCCCTTTTGGACAATTATTAACGTTTTGTTAAGTTCTATTTGCACAATCATTACCACACTATAACAGAGATTAATTCTCCACGAAGGAAGATTCTCAGAGAATAATTCTCCACGAAGGAATTCTAAAATGAATGTATATACAGGTCTTGTTTTAAAGCTTAAACTGGGACACCGTTTACATACGCGCTAAGCCATTTAATATAAGCAGTATGTCATTTTGGTCAAGGCACTTTTTTTTCTTGTTGAAATATTTAAAATCGAAAGATATTGTTTAAGCGATAATATAAAAGAAGTAATTAACGTTATAAAAAGCACTGATAAAGTTTGAATGACAATTATGTAAAAAAGTTTGCATAAAAATTAGGTTTAATATTCATGCATTTACAAATGTAACTAATTAAGCAAAAACAAAGAAATTTTTATTATTCTTACTTTTCCATCAAAAATGTTCAGCAAAAGAAAGAAAAAAAGATGTTATACGACACTTAAAAAAAGATTTACTTTTTTTAAGTTAAAAACTTTTTATCATTTTGCAAGAGCAAGAATATTTATTTAGACAACTTCTTATAACAAACAATAAAAAAAAAAATTAAAGAAGTAAAAAAAAAAAAAAATTAAAAACTATTAGCTGAAAAACAGTACACATTAAATTTCATTTTATATTAGTACCATTTTTGATATTTTAAATATTTGCTTGTTTGTTTGTTTTGTAATAATGATTGATTTTATCAAAAAAATAAAAAAACAATTACTAATACTATTATTGAAATCTTTTTATTATTACAAAAAAACTCCTTTGTGGATATAACTCTATTTTTTTTTGTTGTTGCATGAATTTACACTTGAAACAATATGGCTCTTGTAATGTCTTTGCTTATATTGTTTTATTTTGCAAAAAATAATAGCTTAGAAAAATAATATTTTATAATAGTTACATCAGCTTTATATAACTAACAGATTTTTTTTTTTTTAAACAAAATTTGAATACCGGTTTTTCAAAAAGTTGATTTTTATTATAATTCCTATATGGATTGGTCTTAAAAAGCACTTTAATTAGTTTAAACGCTCTTTAATGTCCAAAAATATCAATGCAAATAATTGCCAAAATTTATTTGATTGCATTTATTTTACATTTAAAGATTTTTTCACTAGTCAACATAATTAAGATTTAATTTATTTTTTTAATAATAGGTGTAAATCCAACCTTAACAGAACCTTTTCTTCGCCCAAATTTAGTGCCACACTTTTTTCAGTATTTTCAAGAGTGGCATGGTATGAACATGTTTTGCTATGTTACTTATTTTAGTAATTTGTATCAACATAGATTTTTTTTGAGTACTAGAACAGTTTAAATTTAATTCATGTTTATGTTATAAATTTTGTTTATAATGAATTTATAAACAAAAATCAGGTATGTAATGATAGAATGTTAAGACTTTATTTAATATATGCAGACTTTTACAAAAACTGGTGGAGGGCGTATCATAATAAACATTTGAACATTAGTAATGTTTAAATGTATGTTATGATATAAAATAATTTTGAATAGTATATATAAAATATAAAAAATATTTTAAAAATTCAAATTTTCAACAAAAAATTAAAACTTTCTTTAAAAAAACCGTGATTTTGAATATATTAAAGAGTGTTATAGACACCTTTTCAACACTCCGCATACACCTTTTATGTATCCTTATTCTCCTTTTTAAGTACTTTTTATAAAAATTCTTTGATTTTATTAAATTTTTTCACCCTTAAAATACTCTAATGAAGCTCTTTCCATTGATATTTAACAATCTAGAATTTGAGTAATTAAAATATTTCATGTCACATACTTATTAATAATAAAACTTTAAACTTGTTGACATTTCTTAACAACTAAAGATATCTCCACAATTAAAAGTTAAGATTTAAAAAGTTAAAAATTTTTAGCTCTATACCATAGAACAATTCTTTAGCTTTAGAATTTCTATAACAATTTTATAACAAGATGACTAAAAACTATTTTCAAAAATTAAAAAGAGTGCATATTATACAATATTTGATGTTTTAACTGAAAATGTTATTTAAACAGATTTTCTCAGATGCATCAAAATTTACTTATATTTCCACAATAACCAATGCCAGAAATTACATTGCTTTAAAGAATCATTAATAAAAGTTGTGACATTAATAGAATATACAAATTAATTAATGAAATAAATTATTTGGAACAAGATTTTCTTTTGTGAATTGTAATGAATACATTTCAACATAGACTTAATAGGTTATTTGGAGTTAACCTAGATCAAGTTTTTAGTTTTAAAATTTTTTAGCAGATTTGTGTATATATCTGTTAAAATACTATTCTATTATTGCTTGATTGTTTTTTAAATACCATTTTAAAGTTATTTGAATTAGCAACTTATACTGAACCTTTGTGGTTATATATATATATATATATATATATATATATATATATATATATATATATATATATATATATATATATATATATATATATATAAAATATATATAAATATATATATATATAAAATATATATAAATATATATATATTTATATATATATATATATATATATATATATATATATATATATATATATATATATATATATATATATATATATATATATATATATATATATATATATATATATATATATATATATATATATATATATACATTTATATAGTTCATATTTTAGTAAAATTTTGTCTGGTCACCATGTTAGAGTATCCTATTTATTAAGCTTTAAATTGCATTTCTTTAATTTTAGACTATTATTATAGCAAACTGGTGGTATTTTCATTTTTATTAAAAATGTGTCGCAATGCTTTATTAGTGCTATGATGATAGAGCAACCACACATGGTTGTGCAAGCAACAATCTCGAACAAATAGATGCTGATAAATCTATTGTGTTCATCATTCAACATTTTCTTTATAAATTAGAAAATACTGTTTTTATGAAATTTCTAATTTGAGACATACAGTTTTATGATACTGAATATAATCACTATTGTTAAAACTTACATGTAGTCATGGTTGAGAAATGTCTACATCTCCAAAATATTTCCGTTAATCGTTTATTTATTTCGTATAAAACATTCCTAAACTCGTAAGCTTTGTACTAGAATTGTATATACTTTTAAATTTATCCGGTATGAATGCTAACTAGAGTAAATCAAGTTACCGTAAATTTTTACTTGAAGTTTAGGAAGAATAATTATAAAATTTAATGTTTTGTCTCTTAAAAATTTCTTGATGTTTCTTACTTCTTTTCTGAGACAGACAAGTATGTAATTTTTTTATTATTATTAATTTTATCTGGTATCTTTTTTTTCAAAAAAAAGTGTCTGATTCAAAGTAACCTCTTTGACAGTGAAACAGATCTATTTTAAACAAAAAATGTCTGTTGAATACTCAAGCAGACTTCATTTAAGTTTTGCTCAGAAGGGTTCTGCTTAAATGTTTTATTTATTTAAAAATTTACAATAATAAATTTATTAAATAAATAAAACATTTAAAAACGAACAACTGAATTGTTCGTTTGAACTGAAGAGTTCCTTTGAAATCTACTTGTGTCTTAAAGATAATCTCATTATAACAATGAGCAGTGCTCGAAATGGGGCAGGATGCTATCCTGTCATCTTTTTATAAAGTATAAATCATCCCGCCTCCTTTTTATAAATCTCTATATACAACAATGATTAGGCGGATGGTATCTATAATTTACTGAATATCATCCCGATACTTTTTTTTTTCCATTTTGAACACTGACAATGAGTATTTATCTGAATTATCTCAGAACAGAGATATTGTATATTAAAGATAGAGATAGAGCCTTTAAATCTATAAAAATAAATAAAGCTATTGATACTGATGAAATAAGTAAATGTATAACAATATGGTAAAATGATTTCAAAGTTACTTATCAAATAGAAAGCAATTTGTTTCCCCCAACGATGGCCTTTAAAGTGACTATGTTGAGAAAAAAGCACCTGTGGTGTTCCACAAGGCTCTATTCTAGGTTATCTTAAGTTTTTAATTTATATTAATGATTTTAGTAAAGCAGCTAATCTTTGGAGTATTATGTTTGCTGATAATACGAAATATAGGTAAAGAGCTTAAATGCGTATCTGAGTGGTTTAAATGTAACAAATTGACCTTAAACTTTGATAGAACAAAATACATTCTGTTTCACCCTATATCTAAACAAAATTTTTTAGCAACAACCTTGCGAAAAATTCTTATTGATGAATTTGAAATAAAAAAAGAAACTTTTACTAGTTTTCTTGGTATTTATCTTGATGAGAATGTTACATGGAAACCGCATAATGATTACATTTGTATTAAAGTTTCTAAAAATAGAGAAGTCCGACATAAATCAAAAAAATTATTTGAACAAAAACATTTTAATCCAACTCTACTACCCATTTAATCATAGTTATAATAACTATGCAAATATTGCAGGGGAAGTACAAGCAAAAGTAAGTTGCGTATTCTTTATCATTGACAGAAACACGCAATATGCTTAGTTTGTTTTGAAAATTATCTTTCGCATTCAAAGTTTATATTTAAAAATATTTATGAATTTAATATTTTTAAATTTGCCTGTCAGGTCAGGTTATCATGCTACTGGTATCATGTAACCCAGTACAACCTGTTTCATGTCCTGTTACCTTGTAGGATACGTTTTTTTTAGGAAAAGGCTAGGAGAAGCTAACTCTGACTTAGAACACTCAAACCTCGGGGATCATGGTTGAGTAAAAGCAAGAGATGGTGCTTCTCTTGGGCAGATGTTAAACGCACACGGCTACTGTCTTGTATAAGGCCTCTTAGGCAATGACATAAGGGGTAAACAGATTTTATTTATTGACCAGCTTCGCACCCCTTTTTCATCTATTAGGCTGACGTAGATGTATTTATAATACATTGTTTCCAGTTTAGCATGTTGAATGCTGTATCTTCTTGAATTAATGCATGTCTTTTGCTTGTGTCTCTGTTTTTATGGCTAGGCAACTCAATTTATTTTTTTCTAATGAGGGTACAGCTCTAAAACTCAGTTTTATGGTTCTTAGGCCGGCTGGTAGTCAGGTTTCTCGAACTCTGTGGTAGCCTCAGAGAGACTGATTCCATCAACAGCTATAAAATATTAGAGTACTAACAATGCCATGTTACCCATGGATGGAGTCTCTGTTCATACTTTTGGTGTACATTTTTGAGGCCACATTTGGAGCCCTTTGTCACGGTTTAAGGTTTAATAATAGTGATGAGGCAATTGCTTGGACTTTTAAAAAGTGTACTGAGTACTATCTGTGCTTTGAGTCAAGTTCTTCAGCAAATTTAAAAATGCCTAAAGTACCAAAAACTTTAAAACACAAAAAACTATCATCTTCACCAAGTTCTCTAAATCTATCATTAATCTATCATCATTCGAGGTCTTTGAAGTAATTTTGCTTCAGTTGAGTCTTATCTCTTGAAATGTTTACGAGACCTATTTGCCCTTTGTGAGACTTATTTGAGTTCAGCTATCTCATCATGTGATCTTAGCGCTGATGGTTATCTTCCTTTAATTCGTAAAGACTTCAATAGTCACATACTTAACCTGGGCGTTTACTTTCGTAATAATTCATTCATTTGTAGAGAAACTAGGTTTGAATCTATTGACTATTCTTTTATGTTCTATCGTTTAGCAACACATCACTCTATTGCCTTTTTCTTCGTTCTATAATACTCTCAATCATCTCAAGACTGCACTTTTTTCGATGTTATTTCTAATCAAATTGACCTAACCCTTTCTTTTTATCCTTAAGCCAATATCGTTGTTGTTAATAAATTTAATGCTTATCACATTGAATGACTTGGCTCTAGTGTCAGTGATTCTGCAGACGTTAAGACTCACAACTTTTGTCTTTTTCAATTTTTAACACAATTAGTAAACTTTCCAAATCGTTTTCCAGACAATCCGAATCATTTACTAAAAGATTGATTAAGTTTATTGTTGTTGAATAGGAAACTTTTTCGATTACATTAGATAAATGCATTTCTTTTAAAAACAGAAAGTATTTAAATATAAACATTTATTGGAAAATAAAAACAAGAAACTTGAATACGTATTTCTGGGTCTTTTCTCAAATTTCACAAAGTTTGAGAGCAAAATTTACAATTTTGATGAAAAAATACTCCTGAAATGTAAAATGAAAATGGTTGTAAAAAAGCAATGAAAATGAAGAATATTCAGGGCTCATTGATATTTATATCAATAAAAGCGTTCGTTAACAAATTCATTTCCAGTTTTTCGTCAACCAAGTTTAAAAATAAACCAAAATTAATGTGCTCAAAATCAAATAAGAATTGTTCTGGCTGACACTTTTTCCAAACTAAGGATTGACGAATATTCGTGAAAATTCGGATTACGAAGTATACTGAATGGCAAAATTGACTTCGGCTTCGACTTGGGTGACGAACTTCAAATAGAAATTTCGGTAACAATTGCAAAACTTCATTTAAATTTCGAAAGTTATTAATTTTTTTCAACTAAAAAAAAAAAAATTATAAATTATATTACATGTTTTATGTATATCAACCTATTTCTTCGCGCAACATATTGTTAGTCAAGTTTCGTGTTTCGAAGTTAAAAGGGTTGTAATCATTATTTAAAAAAAAGAATTAGTAACCTCGCTTACTAAAGTGACCCACACGGCCTTGGGAATTTAAAAAAAGAAAAAAGGAAAAAAAATTAGAAATAGATTTGTCTTACAGAGTCAATAACCAAAAAGTCTTCTTTAGGCTCACACTTCATCAATAATTAAATCCTATTTATCGCTTTCAAAATCATAAAAGTTAAAAAACAGTTTTTCTTTATAAAATTGATATTCAAAATTTTTCAATGATAGTTGTTAATATTTTTTTGCTCATGTTTGTTTAAAAACATTAATAGGTGTAAAAATTTCAAAATTGCTAAAAATAAAATTACTTTGTTTCACTTGTGTTTTGTCACATTTCGAAATATGGTTAATTACAAGCTAAAAAATAATAATTCTAGTTTCTAAAAAATGATTAGTAAAAATTTCGGTTTTGTTATTTTTGTAAAATTTCCGAGGTAATAGCGAGAAAGTCTCTCAGCACGTTTTTATAAGAAAGTATAGAAAATTTATATACAGATATGTAAATATATGTCATAACAACATCTCATCCAAAATTACGTAAATGTAAAAATTCTATTTGGGTAGCGTTCTGTAAGAGTAAACATCTTTAAATAAGTATAAACGTCTTCAGTATGTAAGTGTAAACGTTTGCAAGTGTAAATGTTTTTAAGTCTGAATGGCTAAAAGTTTGAAAGTGTAAACGTCTTTAGCATAAATTGAGTTTGCTAGTGGTATCATGTTTAATCTTTCTATAAAGTGAGAAAACTTTTAAATTTCATTTTTACAATTTACTTGTTTGTTATATATGTATATATATATATATATATATATATATATATATATATATATATATATATATATATATTTCCAGCAATATATATATATATATATATATATATATATATATATATATATATATATATATATATATATATATATATATATATATATATATATATATATATATATATATATATATATATATATATATATATATATATATATATATATATATATATATATATATATATATATATATATATGTATATATATATACATATATATATATATATATGTATATATATATATATATATATATATATATATATATATACATATATATATATATATATGTATATATATATACATATATATATATATATATATATATATATATATATATATATATATATATATATATATATATATATATATATATATATATATATATATATATATATATATATATATATATATTGCTGGAAATATATACGTCAAGATTGAGAAAATTGAAAAATGTATTTATGGCATTATGAATTTAAACCCTCAAAAACGACACTGAGGACAGCGCACTAAACTACTGAGCTATTAAAGATGTTGCATAACATATGTAAATAATATATTAATAAAAAAATATGTTATATGCAACTTGAAAAATTCCCTTTAATAACGCTATGTACAAACGTCTCCAAGTGTAAGAGTGAGTATGTTATGTGAAGTTT